AGGGAGAAGCTGGGCCGCGATCGTCCTGGAGGCCCCCTTCAGCCCTTTCTCTGCCACGTTTACTGTGGTATCCTTGACACTACCTGCTACAGCTGGGGGACCCTGACACGTGCTCGATGCATCAGTCCAGATTTCGCAGAGAAACAGAATCAGTGGGATGCGTGTACATGCACGCACACACCAGAGAGTGAATTATTTTAAGGAATTGTCTCATGTGATAATGGAAGCTGGCAAGTCCAAAATGTGAACGTTAGGCCAACAGACTGGACACCCAAGAAAGCGTTACAGGTTGAGTCCTGAGACAATTTTCTGCCTGAAAGGGCAATAGTCTTTTTCTATTCAGGCCGTCGACTGATTAGGCGAGGCCCACCCATGTTATGGCGGGCAGTCCGCTCTACTCAAAGTCTAACGATTTAAATGTTAGTGCCATCTAAAACACGCCTTCACAGAAATGTCTAGAATACTGTTTGACCAAACATCTGGGTACCATGGCCTGGCCAAATCGATCCATGAAGTTAACCATCACACTTAATGAAAGCTCAGGCTCTGACAAGACTCTCATTGAAGACCGGGAAGCGAGTTACTCAGAATCGGGAGAATCCCCCACTTCCCCCAGGGATGCTGTGCACCCACCCCCTTCCTTCTCGCTGAAAGCAGTGGGTGGCTCCACTGCCCAGGGGTGCTGACGGCAGCCTGGCGGACAGATACGGACTTCGGAACTCTGTTCGTCTCCCGAGCTCTGCCTCGGTGGGCCGGGACACAGGCGTGTCAGTTCACGTATTTACCCAGCAGTCATGCATTTAGCCCCTATGTGTGCCGGCATCTGCGTGCCGCAGGGCTGTGATGACGAATAAACCTCAGTCCCTGCCCTCAGCGGGCCACGTGATCTAGTGCCCGAGGCAAGGGAGAGATTAGAAATTTCAAATCCCGCAGCAGCGTGCAAAGCGCAATGCCCTGTTTTCCACTCACATTTTTGAACACCCGATCTGATCCGGGGGACGTCACTAAGCCACCGATGCACACGTCTGTCATTCGTTCCCACGTTTCCTTTGACAGATGAAGAAACCGAGTCAGACGGGTTAGGTTAGGTCTCTGCGGTCACACAGCTGGGCGGGGACCAAGCCGGAGTTGGGACTCCATCAGCCTGGGAAGCCATCTCGGACCCCGTCGTTAGCCAGTAGGCTGATGGTTAACCAAGCGGGTGCACTGACTCTTCCGCTCTGCCAGGCCAGGGCGCGGTCTGCCTTCCTCACCCGTGGGTGCCTGGCCCGGGGCGTGTGCTCAGGAAGCCGTCATTGAGCGAGCGTGGGGAGCCGTGGGCGGACAAGGCCTGAATGCCACAGAGCCGAGGCTCTTCCGGGTCGACCTAGGTGTTCGCTTTTCCAGCAGATCTGGTTCCAGCAAGAACTCTGAGCCTCCACGGTGCTTGGCTCGCTCGTGCAGGTCACAGCGGCCGTGCTGGGGGCAGTGTCCGCTGCCAGAGCAGGGCTATGCCTGAGGCGGACATGCCAGACACCCGGAAACCCCTCTGTCCCTGCTTGACCGCGAAGATGGTCTCCCAGACAGGGAAGTGTGAGTCGGGACAGAGCGTCGCAGCTCGGTGCTCGGCACCCGTCCTCCTTGGAAGTAGGCCGCAGAGACTGTGGGGCAGAATCTTCTGGAAGGGGCTGGTGTTCATCGCATCACACACAGACGCCAAGCGCTTGGCTTTGCAGAGCTGTCCACGCTGAGCCTTGGACCGGGGCAGCCCCTCTGTCACTGACGGGAGGCTTGCGAGGTGCGGAGGGGGACACGGGGGCCCCGAGCTGACTTCCCGTCTCCCAGCCACGCCCTTTTCGCTCCTTGCTCCATTTTCGTTGGGCTCTTCGTGTTTTTTTCTTGCTTTAAATGTACCGTTATCGCCGTCAGCACCTTTGTGTCCCTGTCACACATCGCGATGGTGCCACGCCCTTTTCGCTCCTTGCTCCATTTTCGTTGGGCTTTTCGCGTTTTTTTCCTTGCTTTAAATGTACCGTTATCGCCGTCAGCGCCTTTGTGTCCCTGTCACACATCGCGGTGTCGCCGGTGGACCGCGATGGCGCCGTAGGTTTATTCACCGATCGAGCGCTTGTTAGGCACCTGCCGTGTCTCCAGGAGTTGGTGACATGGAGCTAAGAGACAGGGGCGTAGCAGCGGTCTGCGTCCACGGACGAGGGCCGTTCCCCCCATTCGTCTACCTGGGAGGGGGCGTCTCTTTGCGCTTAGCACCAAGGCAGCCAGTGGGCTCACCGTGGCCCTGGAGGATGACGCACGCTTGGGCTAAGGCACTGCCGTGCCCAAGGCCCTCGGGCAGGAGAGCGTGGTGCGCACGCAGGATGCCGCAGCCGACGGGGCTGGGCGCAGTGAGCGCGAGGGTGAGGGGCGCGAGGGAGGCTGTGTGGTCGGTGGGCGCAGACTCTGCACCTGTGCAGAGGATAACAGCTCCGACCCCCAGGTGACTGGTGACCCAGCGTGGCGTGGACCTGTGCCCGGCGGGGACTCGGGCTCCGTAAACCGGAGCTGCTGCTGCTCTCATCACGGCCGCCCAGCCGCTCGTCGCCAGAGGTCACTCCAGCAGAGTCCGCAGGCAGC